TATATATATATATATATATATATATATGTGTGTGTGTGTGTGTGTGTGTGTGTGTGTGTGGATTGGGCTACATGCTGCAGCGATATATGGATCAGGCTGCATGCCGCAACGATATGTTGGATCGGGCTGCACACCGCAGCGATATAGCGCTTGGGCTATAGGAGCCCCTCCAGAGTCTGCACACCCCCAGTGAACGCAATCGACTATATATATGGATCGGGCTGCACGATACAGCGATATACGGATCGGACTGCATGCCACAACGGTTATTATATGGTACCTATTGAGAATGAGTACTGAGTGTGAGTGTTGATTGCTAAGAGTTGAGACAAAAGTGACTGAGAGGCTTTCCCGAGGGGCTATATATATACACATATACCAGTGATGCTTTTCCTGAGGGGCTTGTTTATGAAATTACTGTTTTCACTCCTCCTTAACGTGAGTCTCTATTGAATATGTTGATTAAATTACTGCTTTCACTCATCTTTATACTAAGCCTCTATTAAAAATGTTAAACAAATATTTTAAACAACTTTCATTTAAACTGGAGTTCTCACGAGGTGTTCGGAATTTAATCACTGATTCTTGCTGGCCTGCCTTCGGACTATGAAAGCTTTGTCACTACGGTGAAGCTTCAACGACCAAAACCAACTATGGCTGAGCTTTGGCTTTGTTACTTCCACTGTGATTTTTAAGTTATGAGATGTTTATGAATTTCTGTTTGCCCGAGGAACTATATACGAACTCTATTTTGCCCGAGAGGCTGATTATGATTTTCATCACTTTCACTATAAACTACATTAAACCTCTACTAAAACGGTTAGAAAGACCTTTTCTAAAGGATTTTATTGAAATTGGAATTTAACGAGATAATTTTATTGGTATCTTGTTTTGGGAACATACCGTACCCGCTGTGGTGCTATGACGTGGTTTACATGATTTCTTGCTGCTCAGACTTTATTTTCTTTTATTACTTACTGAGTTGACGTACTCACATTACTCCCTGCAGCTTATGTGCAGATTCAGGTATTTCTGAGTAGTTGTCTGGCGATCGTAGCCCTACTTTTCTCCCTCTTTAATATCCCTTAGTGTATTCTTGTGATTTTCTCGGCCATATTGGTCTTGATATTGTCAGACAGTTGTAGTAGATTCTCATGAGTAGTGGCACCCCGATGTCGGGCTTTCTTTCCGCATTAATATTTGTTTTTAAACACTATATAAAGGTTTATTGTTGTATAGATTTGATTTTATCCTAAGAATGGAAAATCTTAATTGGTTTTGGGTTTGTGTCGGCTGGCCTAGTTCTATGATAGGCACTATCATGACCGGGTTGGTTTTGGGGTCGTGACAAGTTGGTATTAGAGCCTAGGTTACATAGGTCTCACGAGTCATGAGCAGGCTTAGTATAGTCTAGCGGATCGATACGGAGACGTTTGTACTTATCCTCGGGAGGCTGCAGAACCTTTAGGAAAACTTCACATTCTTGAATTATTATCGTGCGACATTGATTCAGCTTGAAATGTAACTCTTGAAATTCCTTCCACGCGTTTGTTTGCATGCATGAGCGCTCGGTATCAAGGGGCGAGATGTGACATATGTGTGTTGATATCGGGTCAATCTGGAGGACTTGAGGCCGGGTTTTGCCTGTAGCTTGAGCACAAAGGTGCTGATTGTGTGAGCACATGCATCTGAATTTATATGTTCGATGGTGTCCCTATTAAGGGAAGTGATGACTGGATAGTCATGTGATGAGTCTGATGTGACTGCGAGATGTGTTCATATGATTGGAATGAAGCAAGAAGGGTCTGCTTGGGGGTAGTAAGAACTATTCGGTGCTTGATTTCCATCGTGATTTGACGTATAGCCCGAGTTATGGGCATGATAAAGGATCTTTCTTATGTTGTCTAGTCGGGAAATGGAGTAAATTTCATGTCGTGATATGAGTTCCAACTCAGGAAGGGTAAGTGATCGGGTAATAGTTATGATTATGGAAGAGTATAGAGAGATGCTAGTTTGAGACTAAGCAAGTGGATTATCTTCTACGGAGTGTTCTGAAGTTGCGTTGTCCCTATGTTGTTTGTTGGAAGACCTCTTTTACCAGTGAAATATACATGTTGCAATTCGAATTTGGGTCGCTTAAGAGAGTGGGCTTGACTGTTACGAGGGTGAATGCGAGATTTGCAGAAGATTTGAAGTAGTAGATGGTCTGTGTTGCACGAGCTTATGAAGGATTGAGTTTAATCTCACTATGGTATTATGGCAGTAATAGAGTATATGTATTATGAGTTATTGTGTGTTTTGATCTATGGCTTTGATTCAAGTAGGGGAATC